AGAGAAAAGTAACCAAGACAGTTATCTTCAAAGTAGTTGCTCAGGCTACCAGATATAGGCATGCAAAATTGATCAAACAATTAAGCATTAACTGTTCCTTTCAATAAACCAATAGAAACTAGTAGTACAATTATCTTAGCTATCTTGTGTATTTATATTGTTTTCCCTTCTTTCTTTCTTTTCTCCTTTCCCCCAGCCCAGTTCTCCTTTCCTTTTGAGCAGTTTCCTTCCCTTTCACAATATCTATTGTACCTTTCAGATTTTATTAACTCTTTCAGTTTCTTACACCAGCTCCAATTGCTGATCCCCCTGCCTCAGCCTCCCAGAGGCAAGCATGTGCTACCGTGCCTGGCTCCTCACAGTCTTTTAAACCCAGGTAAAGAAGAGTGTGCTCAAAGGTCATGCTGGGCCTCAATGTCTGTTCCAAGTGAGCCCGTGATATGAGGACCCCTGTGGGCTGGCTCAGGCCATGGACACACTCCTCTCCCCTGTACCCATTTCACCTCGCTGACCAGGCCCAGAGACTGACAGGCAGCAGAGAAAGGCAGGTGGGTGGGGTTCAGAGGGCAGCTCCACGGAGCCTCAGGGTCTGGCACCTCTTGAAAAAGGGAAAGACATCCGAGCCACTGTATCCTCTGAAAGGGTAAACTCACTCACATGTGAGAAGCTGAAGACAGAGAGGCTCTGTCCACGGCATGGAAGGCACAGTTTGGGAGGAAGCAGCCCCACGTCCAGTACAGACCAAGGGAGGAGTTGAGTGTCATTACGTCCACTTCTAACCAGCGTATGGAGACGGAAAACAGTCAGATAGACGCACTTTATTAGCCACTCTACATTGCACCCTCTGTCTCTCTGTCGTGCCCACACCATATCTCTATAGGGACATAGTGATTCTCAAGCAGGGAGCACAAGAGGGCTGGTTGTGCGGGCAGGCCCTGGGCACTCCGCGGAGTGCCGTTCTTTGGGGAAAGGCAGGACAACCAGCTTCTCTTGCTGGGAGCCCAGGAAAAGGAAAGAGATATCCAGGGTGTCTCCCTGCGGGTTGGTGGTTAGATCGAGCTGCACGGGGAAGGCCTCCTGACGGTCCTTTTCCTCAGAACCTTTGGGTGTCTCATCTTCCAGGTCAGGGAGGTGTTGGATGGATCCCAGCGGCCCAGTTTTGGCAGGGGAGCTGGAAGAGGTGGTGTTCTCCTGCAGGGGCTGCTCCACCCCGGGGAGGCTCCCAGAGCTTTGTTTCACGGCAGAGCTCTCACCTTCAGGCGTCTGGACCTGAAACAGGAATGTTTTCCAATGGGGAGTTCCACAGGGGAAACTGGCCATGTCCACTACTAGGCTCAGCTGGCCTCTGTCCAGCGAGCTGCCTGTTCCCAACAGTGGGAGAAGCAGGCACCTTTGTTTGTTTATTCTGTGCCAGACCTTGTCCCCTGCCCTTCACCCAGGTCCTCTCACTCCTTTCTCTTCAGGGATCTGAAGGACGTAGGTGTTGCAATCCCATCTCAGATGGGCAGGTAAGTGCCAAAACCCATGCAGCTCACAGGAGCAGAGCAGGCATGGAGCTCCAGGCTGTCTTATAGTAAGTGCTCAATAAATATTTCTGGAGAGGGATTGGATGTTTTCACGGAAATGACTTTTCTCTGAGGTTTAGGGTAAGGTTTCTTTAGGACACTGAATTTAATACCTCAGGGGCTTGAGCCATCAAAGCTAGTAGTTCTCTGTTTCTGAGTATTTCATTATGATTTTGTGCGACCACGTTGTGACTGAAAAAAGTTTGACGGCTCTCTCACACCAGCTACCATGTGGGTGTGGCCTTAGAGGAGTTTGAGTAAAGCGATGGTCATGGATCCGGGGAAAATCAAAGGGGCAGGGTAGCTAAATTTAGATAATCTTCTCTGCCTTTCAGAGGAAGGTGAACAGATTGGAAAATACCTGTGATTTGAAGAAGTCACAAGTCACAGAGACAAATTTTTCTGTGCGAGTTTGAGTCAGAGAACCTTGGCAAAGTCCAACAGGCTAAAAGAAAGAAAATACAAAGCCCCATGAGGAAAACGATGATCACTGATCATAAATGGAAATCAGTTTGCTTTCTTCCTGTGTAGACCCATAGCCACTCAATGTACTGATAGTCCTACTATGTGCTAAGCATGCACTGGGCCACTTCTCTCCAAATTACCGCTACTAAAAAAATCACACAAGGTAGGCTAAATTGCCTCCAATGATGGGAAACTCGGTATTTCTTGAAGAACAGAATTCTAATTATGGGAAAATTCTTTCTGTTGAGCAGAAAGACATATTGCCATTAAACCCCCTCAAAATATTCTTCCTTACTTCAAACACATGTATCCCATCATCCCTTCCACTTTCTGAAGCAGTTCTGGAAGTCTTTCTTGAATGTCTTGTGCTGTTGTGGGTGTTTTGATGTCAGTTCAAAACTTTTACTTTTCATAGTCATTCTGCCTTTGGGGAATAGCTATAAGTTGCTTGGTGCCAGACCTCATGAACAAGGTGGACAAGGACACACTGCAGTGTCTTTACAAGCCTGCCTTTTGCTTGGGTGCACAGCATTCACCATATTTTTTTTTTATCATACCTTAGACAGACACTCATGAAAGAGGACTTCCAGAACTGCTTCAGAAAGTAGCAAGAATGACGATATAAGTGTGTGGCATAAGGGAGCTGGTTTAATGGCAAAGTGTCTTTTAAAAAAATCACTATATATTTTGATCATACCTTATATAGTTTGTGCTCTACAGATAGAGAATCTGTGAACACGTACCTTAAATTAAGACATTCAGGGACACTTACCATAGAGTCGGAGGACTGGAGTGAGCAGCTGCTGGCGTGGAGCTTGGTGCACGGTGACTCTCTGATTAAATATTCCACGAAGTAAGCAGGGCCAACCACCCACTGTTACAAGACAGGAGTTGGGACATTAAAATAAAATCTTCCTACATGGGGAACAGACACAGGTTTAGCAGCATTACTTTACAGAAATGACCCCCTCAGACGCCTTGACAACACACACATCCATGCTTCTGCACGTCCTCACATGCATGAGCCAGGTGCTATAATTCTGTTATTTAGAAAACTCAATCACCACAACTTTTTTGTTTTCTTAGGAATTTGAAGCTGGGCATGGTGGCGCACACCTGTAATCTCAGCATTCGGGAGGCTGAGGCAGAAGCATCATTGTAAGTTCAAGACCAGCCTGGGCTACAAAGTGAGCTCAAGGCCAGCCTGAACTGCATAGCGAGATCCTGTCTCAGAAAGAAAGAGAGAAAGAAAGAAAGAA